GATATGACGACTCGGACCCTGGAACCTAACCTAATCTGGCTCCATATTAGTAGTCTAGGCATAACAGAGACTCAAAGCGCTCACCGAGGGCAAAGAAAGAAAAAAAACATGATGAATACACACGCATAAAGACGTTGTAAGCATAGGCTAGATGTAAGACTTGAATGAACCCTATCACTGTAGCGCCCCGGCGAAGAGAAATGACCATTTTGAACGAGCGCTTTTAGTAGACAACACAACTTACTGTCATTTTTGTATGTAAGCTGAACTAAGCACATTGCAACATTTGATGTCGACATCCGTTAGCATCAGTGGCAGGCTGGAACTTGTTCGAGCCACATGTTGGTCACATGCAGTCAAGGAGTGATCCAACTGGAGCCTCATATCAGTGTTAAAACGTATTTAGAGTCGCATATGGAGACCTGCATATGCATGCTAGTAGTTATTTGGACTAGAAGGCATTGATATTACCAATTGCTGGATTGAGATCAGACAGACCTATGCATCGGCATCGAACATTCTAAATTGCTTGAGAGTATGAAAAGCGTCCTCCATCATCGTGACAGTGCCCTTGATAATCTCGGCTCTACACTGGGGGGCGAAAAAAAACACGCATGAAAACATGACGAGAGCACATGCGCAAGGAACTGTGTACCCAGTGTTGGACATCAGGCACATCGCTGTGTTTGTGGATATGATGCTCTTTACTTGATAGCAGGTGTGGGTGCTTAGGCACGCGCCCAGTTCAGGGCGCTGAAGTCGACAGTATAGATAATAGGTTGCATAAAATCTACTTTTGTAAGAATTCTGCAGTCTTCACGTCATGTTTAACTCGTTTTAGGACCTTAAGGCTCTTACTGGAAAATACCGAGTAGCTTGCGAGTTCGGATAAGTAAAAGACAGCATCAATGTTTTGCTACCCTGGAGTACCTTGGTCAGTGGCGACATGAATGTGTATGAATTTACTGGCACGATATGACGACCAAGTACACATTGCATCTGATAGCCTATGCCGACTCAATCCTGAACCGCATCCTAGAACCGCTAGACGCCCCTTCTCCTAGATCATCACAGTCAGCTTCGAGACGCACTCGTACACGTTCACTACTCGTAACGCCATCAGGGTGAAAACCTGCGAGGTTTTCTAGTCCTCCTGCCGAAGCTGCCATCATGAGATGGACTGGGTTTGCCGCATCAAATAAGGGATGCGATTGAGCACGTCCCTGGATCAGACTATACGCCGCAGCTTGAAACAGTGACAGCCCATATGACTGTCAGAACTCCGAGAATATAGATGTATGTGAGGTGATGGCTAGACCAGCCGTAGGTCATCACTGACATGGTTCCGTTCAGGGATTTGAAAGCACTTTGGTCAGAGTATAAGGCCGGCATCGCAGTGGCAGCACCTTCTGCAGAGTAGGCAGAGCGAAGGTACTGCTGTACATCAACCCCATTGAAATAGGAAAGGTGATATATACTCACTGTAGCAGAAAACTCTACAATGCCACGGAAATAGTCTTCCTGTTTAACTTGTAAAAACCATGTTCTACCATAACCAAACATAAAAGAAGTTACTTACAAGTACCTCAAACACTGAGCGCGTTGGGTTTATTCCGTTAAGATGTAGCAGCTCTCCCAAAGGGTTACTCCATGTTGTCTGGCTGGAATAAGATAGCTCCCACACTACGCTTAAGATGAATTCAGTAACATTAACGCTGGTGTTCCGAAGTGGCTGGATGTAGCGAGGCCGATCAATGGAAATATTTCCATTGTTGTATGTTACATCGAACGAGGCCACATATGGGGCAACCTTGCAAACTGTTTTACCCAAGAAATTATATCCCCATTCGCCCTGCAGGAAGATGTCTATGGTGGAGATCAGGATCAACATTGGCACTTTCAGAGTTGAGCTCACATACCAAAAGAAGTGGCATTCTCTGTTCCCGGACAGATGATCATCCCGAGAAAGCCATTTGTATCGTCCCCTTTCTGGAACTCCTCAGTCGCCCAGGTGTTCCAAATGCCTAACAAGCAACATCAGGCTGCATCAATATGGGTATACTGCGCTGACATACTGCCAAAAGGTTCAGGACAATTTACTGTCATATTCCAAAACATGATCTCGTAACTGTTGAGAGCGGAACTTTTGATGCTTATTGAGTACTGGGTGTCGTTCGGATCAAGGGCACTGCATGTAATGTATGCTGAAAGACCCTGCTGTGTTACGTTATAAGTTCTAGAAAGCCCGGAGTGTTCGTTATCGAGGACTGGCGTAGTATGGACAGCGACTTTTCCACCATAGTAACTGAGACCAATGTCATAAGTTGTCAATGACATGCCTGCGTATTCTTCAACCGCTGGAACAATACCACCTAGGAACAGAATAAGTTACTGATTTAGGTATGCTGTTATATCAGAACGTACTGCTAGATTTGCTGTATGAGACACCATTAAAGGCAAAGACACTGTCATCTCCGCCTGCGATAGCTAAACGTGAGGCTGAAGTCCCGCTCATGGGCAATATGACATCAAGCATGTAACTGGCATTCTTCCAAGCTGTAATGGAGTTATCAATGGGCCAAATAATAATGAGATACAGTGCTTACATATGTTCCCATTATACATATCGTTACCTAGCTGCGTATCAAATGCAGGGCTTGCAAGGTCCAGATCTTTGCCTTGGATCGGCACAGGCCATGTAAGGTGTGTCGGCAACAGCAATGTCGTCCAGCTGTAGCAGGCCGCAAGTCAGCTGCGATGCTCGTGAAATATTTTCATACCTTGAATTAAGAAGTGTGATCAAACCAACAATGAACACCGTGATAAGAGATAGCTTGCGGTGGTTCCATCGAATAAGAGGTTGAGGTTTGGTGAGGGCTATCGCGGTGTGAAGTTCAACTAGTGACAATGGCTGAGTGATATAATGGCTGAGTGCATGCTTGACGGCGACTGTGAAAAGGCTGCAATATCAATGTACTCAGATGTCAGCTAGGCACTACGTGCACCAGCTATTGAACTTACGCTGTGGTGGTCACAGACAGAATCGTGGATATCACAGTGGATATGAGAGTGAGTTCGGTAGGATATGTTATGATCGAGCGGACAATGCGATCGTGGAGAACCAGATATTCCTTATGCCATAAGAAAAGAATAAATGACCAGCAAAGAGTGAATATGACGCTCGAGATGAAGATCGTAAGAACTAACAGACGCCTCTGCCGGTCCATTGAGAAGTATTTGCAGGTGGATCTGGAAGTTTAAATCAATAACTAGTACTTATAAAAGATGGCTGAGACTGACCGTTTACTGCATGTAAAAATGCGGGACACACTTATCTGGCCCGTAATGTCTTGGCATCTCAATCGGCAGCCTGTGCGAAGAAGATACGCATTGACTTCTTGAGCGCCTGCACAAAGAAGGTAGCAGTCAAACCTTGTCACTACATCCCAAATTAAGTCTGAACAAGCGCTAGGCTAGTAGAAAATATATTTATCGCGAGTCCTACATCGTGCCGACATAGCATTAAGTTGCAATTGATGTGATAAGGGGCGCCGATTACGTGCCCATGAACACAGTCCAGCACTCTCTGACAGCCATCTAACATGGGGTTCTGAGTCTCACTGAACAAAACATGATTTAGTTCACATCCACAGCGCATAAAAAACTACCAAAATTTGATACCTGCAGTTCAAAAAGAGTCACAGAGACGCCCTGGCCAAGAAGTTCCTCGGCGCTACATAGATGCATCTCATACTCGTAAGTGAATCAGAATGTTCGAGAAAGACATTGAGATATTCGAATGATGGTGATCTGAGTCAGTATGGAGTTAGACTCATCTCGGATCCATCTAGCAACAAAAAAACCCATTCGCATCGGAATATCCACATGAACAATATGCGCTAGGCTATATTGCGCATTTTCGTCATATTGTAAATTCAAAATTGCACTTACAGCACATCGAACCTCAAAGTTTTAAAAGGGTGACTCACAAGGTTCGAACTTAAATCCAGTATGTCACATGATACGTTCCACCAGTTAAGGACTCCCGTAAAATCATTCAATCGTATATGTAGAGACAAGACTTCAGAACATGCAGAACATTTGACCGCTGCTTTCATATCGATAGATTATATCAGGCAGTCTGTATCCTGACACACCAAAGGGTCCCACATACCGGCTTGCTTATATCCAAAGCTCAAAGCTTGTATGAAAAGTCTTATCCAAACAGGTACCCCGAAGAGCATGTTCGTGAGACTTGCTCACGCCGTAATTTGAACCATGGACACAACCTAGCCCTAGTAATGCATCCAGAGCGAGGTGCCCTCATTCCTTTTATACGCACATTCAAAGGCTGGAATGATTGTCGTCTGGGAGACTGATTCAGAAGACCAAAATCCGCGAGCCTTTCGTCAGCGTCTACTACATCAGGCAGTTTGTACCCTGACACACCAGGGAGTTCCACATTTCGCAGCTTTTTGCTTTTATCAAAAACTGAGTTCGGAGCTGATGGAACACTTCTATGAAAAGTCTTATCCGACGAGTCGGAGTCATTGACCGAGTAACAAATTATTACGGACCTCTTTAGTAGTTACACGACATGTTCAAGACTCGAGGGGTGTATGATGGGACTCGCTAGTAACTGGAAGCGTGCCGGGCGTCGAACTTGAGCGATCGAGCGTAAGCAACAGTGAATGCTAAGAACGTTGACGACACAAGTCTTGCAGTTCTGCGCTGAACGAGAGATTCATTGTGAGCAATCAGACAACCACGGCAAGATCGAATACCCAGCTTGAAATAAGGGATAGTTGCTCTGTCGCAGGTACAACTCGCGAGCTTACTACGATGGTTACGTCGGAAGTTTGAGCTATATTACTAGGGAGGCTCACAGTAGGTCGCTTCTGCTTCTGCTTCTGCGTCCATAATAAATCGATATTTTCACATATACAGCAAAATAAATAGAAACTAAATTGAATATACCATTTCTGGCCATCCCGCTCGGAGTGCGCTAAGTCGCATTGTACTCTACTTTATACTCTCGCATGGCTAAATCGAAGAAGATACAGAATCTACCCGACATTCAGTGGAACGAGAACGAGCACTCGCGTATATGGAAACTCATCGCGGAAATCAGTGCAAAGGCAAATTACAAGGTCTTGTTTGGTAAAAAAGATCAACATGAGGTGAGTGCGGATATCTGAGTTACTAGTACTAATTCACGGAGCCATCAGAACACATCTGGCGAGACGAAGGCCAGCGTTTATAAACGTATTGGTGCTATTGTCCTACCAGAGTGCTACGAGATTGATCCGACGGCAACCGGTGACCGTGTCAAGAGCAAACTTGAATCGTTGCGTTGCAAAATACCTCTGGAGAGACTCGCAACATATTGACAAAGCGGTGGTGGTCAGCTGGACTCTGTGCCCATTCCCATGCAAGGTGTAGACTGCTGGATTTAAGGACCGGAGGGCGAGAATTCAGGTAGCGAGCTTGTTGTATGGCTGATATGCAATTTATATCTGTAGTAAGCTCTTGTGAAAGGTCTTCGAGTGTCTGTGCAGGTCGAAAGAGTGCTTGAATAATCATGAAAAAGATATAGGATTCTAAGTATTGCTGATGTAGCGAGCTGCGAGGCATGTGTAGTATGGGTTAGGGAGTTAACTGCTTACATAACACACCACTAACCCTTGTCCCTCACGTGTCAGCAGAAGCAGAAGCAAACGCAGAAGCAGAAGCGACCTACATACTGTGAGCTCCCCTACTGTATCATACAGATCAAAATCAAGTTGAAGTTGAAAATGCTGAAATTCACTTGAAATATGTCCGCGTGACCTTTACATATAATTTTCTGGAGACGAAGTGCTGCATACTAAGTAGATGACCGACATCGGACCAGTGACTGGTCCTACAAGCAAAATATAAATGATGCGCTGGTATAATATTGTAATACGAGTGAATGAATGTGAATAGATATGTAGCGATCCTCCAGCGTAGTCAAGTCCATCCTACATCATACCATCTACCGCGCCATAATTGCCTGTGTCTTAACCCCTGCCTCATCTATGGCCTGTTGGAATGCAATCATGTGCTCCTCCGCAACCCTACTGCAATTGAGATCTGCGCCTTCCTGCTCCCACCGTTCAATACGTCCACGGCTGCGCTCCGCCCCTTCCCATTCCCCACGTAGTCCACCAAAACGGTTCTTCAGCGCACGAATCCGCCGACCCGAATCTGCTGTAGCAGCTCCATTCACCTGTGCCTGCTCTGATATCGTTGTAAGGGATGAAAGCAGTGCCGCTGTATGTGTTCGCAGCTGCACCAGGTGCGGCAGTGGTGCAGCAGCACTGGAGGGCTGGGGTGCAGCGAACGAGGGCTTTTCGGGTGACGAAGGTAGGGACGGTGCATAAGACGATTCAAGCTCGTCTTCCTCGGCGACGGTATCTAGCTTCGTCGGCACAGGCTCGGTCTCGGTCTCGCCCTCGTCAATATCATCCAACTCACAAAGGACATCATTCCCACCGACCTCTGTCGAAAGCCGGCGAAATTCGCGCTCATACGCAATGAGCTCGCGCACCTGACTTTCCCGTTCTTTTGTAGCTTCGTTAATGGCACGGACCATGTCTGATGCCAATCTTTCCAGGACGTGTGCGCTTGGAGCAGCGTCCGAGGTGTGTGAGAAGGATAAAGTAGGTAGAGCGTCGATGGCGCGTAAATGTGCAAGGAATTGATCTGTTGAAGCGAGATTTTGTGCAAGGATCTCCATGGCATCTTGCTCTCGTCTTCTTGGGATAAACGGGTCATCGCCATCGTCCCCATCCATACTGTCTTCTACATCTTCATCGGTATCCTCATCAGCACTCCCGCTCCCGCCTAGTTCGTCCGCCAAACTGGAGCCCCCCATCTCATCAGCTAGGCTTCCTCCAATCTCATTCGCCAGACTATCCCCTGGTGCATGCACTTCACGCTCCTCATCTCTACGTGCGCAGTCATCTTCATCAATGCCTTCCGCGCCTTCGTCATACTCAATCCCAAACTCCTCCGCGAGCATTCGTGACCCGCCTCCGGGTTCAGGCATTAGTGCAACAGCGAGTTCATGTGCCAGAGAATGTGCCCCATTTGGCATGGTCTGATCTAGGGACGAGAGTGGTTCGGATGCCCGCATCGACTTACGCGGCGATGAGGACTGGTGTCTAGCGTGCGACATGGTGCCGCTCGAATCTTGAATGGGTGGTATAGTGGGTCTATAGAGTACGCGGACGCGTATCAATAATGCGATGGTATCTTGAATGAGCGAAGTGATTTCTACGCAAGTACTTGTCTAAAAGTACTTTGTGGTTGTCTAGCCGTTATGACCCAGAAGTCTAGATTCAGTGGTAGTGGTTGAGAGTGAAAGGAGACAGAACTACGGCTTACTAATCCTATTATCCTTTGCTTTTCTCAATCACCTACGATACCATCTTGTCCATACTTTGTCTGTCCATACTCACTGATACTCACCGACCGTCCTCTCTTCCTGCATCTAGTGACCGATCCTGGTGCTCCACACTCAATTAACATCTTTTTCTCGCAATTTTATTCATTTATTTATCCTACTCACGATGGCTGGTTACTTCTCAAACCACTCGCAATTCCAGACTCGGTTTGCAAATGCAGCATCTAGCACTACCACAACCACAACTACTACTACTACCACACCCGCCATCCCAGCAGAGACACGTCCCCGACCCCCTACAAGTAGGCATTTCTCCACATCCGTCGCACACCCGCCACACGAGGAGCGCGACCGAGGCGTTGACGTTCCCGCACCGCTACCCGTTCACCCTCTCCGGAATACGTATGTTCGTGGCTTCCTTCCCATTCTCATCCGTGATTAACGTCCATTTCCCCAGGTGGGTCTTCTGGTTCCGACAACAGCGCGCTCCGGGGAATAAAATCACTAATTATGAAGAAGGCATCAAAAAAATTGCTTCTTTCTCCAGCGTCGAATCTTTTTGGGGACTTCAAACTCACCTTTCGCCTCCTTCTGCGCTCTTGCCTACTACGGATTACCTCCTGTTTCATGCGGGTGTTCGCAGGCCTGTATGGGAAGACCCCCTGAATCGTGCTGGTGGAAAGTGGATTGTGCGATTGCGTAAGGGGGTGGCGGACAGGGTGTGGGAGGACCTTGTTATGGGCGTCGTGGGTGACATGTTTGATGAATGTGGCACACAGGGGGAAGGGGAGGATGGTGGGTGGCCAGAAATTTGTGGTTGCACCATCAGCGTGCGCCAGAGTGAGGATATCGTGAGCTTGTGGAATCGCGTCGATGGGGATGCCAAGGTTCGAGAGAAGATTCGGTGCGTTTTTTGCAATTTCTTTTCCGCGATTTCAACGGTCTAATTGGTGTGGTAGGGACACCTTGCGCACTGTACTCAACCTTCCTCCATCGACCATCATGGAGTATAAATCTAATAACGGTGCGGTTTTTCCATCCCCTTCGCGGCCCGTCTTAATAACGTAACTACAGACTCGATGCAAGATAAATCTTCATTCCGCAACTCCGCGATTGAGAGGATGCCGGTTATCGCTGACGCATCGTGACAGCCTTTTTCGTGTGATGGCACGAATGCTGATCATTTTATCCTGTGTTTTTGGTGTACATGCAACATCACACGAACGTAATATCTTCTTGGTATCCTGATTTTCTTACCAGTATACAAGGAAATAATCGAATACGAAACGAATCTTGAATTGTAGTAGCAGACAGTTACGGCCTTGTCTGTGTTACTTCAACACAGATAGTTCATTGCTCTCAAGCCAAGCTGATTTTACTGCCCATACATACAAGACTGAAACGAGTATAATGACCCTAAGCTACAACGTTTCGGACTGCATATCCAACTTGGTGGAATTTTCGCTGCCATGAAACTCCGCGGCGTTGACCTAGGTGTAAACAACCTATCTAGCGGAATCGCGGGCCTCAACTTCACCAGTCGGATATCAACATGGCCCTTCCCCACAAGAATGAGGAGTACGGTACCGAAGTGTACTGGTGAGTAGTTAGGTATCTGCCTCTGAGATTATATACTCACCAAACAATCCATAAAGGGACAAGAGATACGAGCAGTATGTCTTCGTCTGTTTCTTGATGAGTTATGAGACACCGTAGATGAATCTTAGAGAAGCTGAGGATGCCTCTTTTGACTGGTTCAAGACCTATGCGGATGTTGCGAATGTCATTCGCAAGCTCATCCCCAATAGAGCTGCACGCATCCTAATGCTCGGTTGTGGAAATTCAAAGTTTTCGGAGGACGTAAGTCTTTCCTCTTGAATATGCCATGTAATCTCGTGAGCTTAACACCTGTGCTAACAGATGTGGGAGGATGGGTACAAAAACATTGTCAACGTTGATGTATGTTTCTTGCTGTGATGGTCTTGATTTACCTCATATTTCTCCCAAAGTATTCGCCCGTTGTGATCGAGAAGATGCGCAACCGACACAAAGATATGCGCCCAGAGGTGACATGTAGTGACTTTTCAGAAATATCGGAAACACATTTTAATACTTTGACAGGGGAAGTGAAGGACGTCCGAACTCTAGATGGTCTAGATACCGCATCCTTTGATGTCGCCATCGATAAAGGTATATGATGAATTTTAGTTGCCGTTATTCGGAATCTCACGCTTTCCGGTCCCAGGAACAATGGATGCAATGATGACGTCTTCCACTGACGTCTGGGTATGTTTAATCATCATGACAACATACGACCTACTGATGACCACGTGCACAGGATCCACCAGAGCAAGTCATCAAAGACTGCACAGCAGAGGTATCTCAAGTCATACGGTGAGTCACTTCACATCTTCATACTTTCTGGTCTCACGAGGACTGGTAGTGTGCTTAAGCGCAATGGCATCTTCATCTACATCACTTTCGGACAACCACACTTCCGAAAACGATATCTCACTGGTGCACATATAACACGAAACACTTCACTTGAGATCAACCAACTCGGAGAGTCTTTCCATTACTACATGTACACCCTGCGGATGCTATGATGTTTCTTCATCAAAGGATCACACATCTGTCCGCTTGATTGTGTTTCCAAGATCATGACGCCTATATACGGGACATGTGCTTATATGTACTGTACTGAGCACCTACCTCCACCTAGTGCCCGCCACCGTGTCACCAAGTGTCAGTAATAGATGTGGACAGTATGTCGAATTAGGAAATCCAAACCCCTAACTAGCGCCGATAATACTTAATAGGTACCACAACCTCGCACACAACGTCACCAAACGTTAACGTTCACTCTTATCACCACGATTCACGAGGAGGCTGATATCAACCTGCAATGCCTGTTCCAAGACACCATGAGCAATTTTACTTCACTTTCGTCACATTTCTGGTGAGTTGTTATCGGGCAGCCATACAGCAGCTCACTCTGTCTGCCCCAGGTCGAGGACTGTCTATTCAGAGTGCCTCGTGACACACTAGAATCGCAGTCAGACATCTTTCGCGATTTGTTTCTACTGCCTGTTCAAGCCGATAAAGCTGAGGGATATTCAGACACAGATCCTATCGTTCTCGAGGGCATTCTGAAGGAAGAATTCCAGTCTCTCATGAAGGTGTTGTATCCCATGTGAGAATCGCTTCACGGATCTGTCACTTGGA